TGATGTAGATGAAGTTCCCACAAATACGATACACACCGAACCTCCATAACACATGTATGAAGTTGACTATGGTGCAATATACGGGCTAAAATTTGCGGATATGCTTAATGTTGGTGACTACGGATTTAACTCATCAGTCAATGATGATGAGTTGTATATTGAAATAGAGTTTCATTCGAAAGAATAAGCGATGATTGCAATTAAGAATTACAACATTTATAATTCTGTTCACTCCAGAGTTGATCGATCAACCACCGATAAGTATGTCTGCTATTGTGTCCAACGTGATAACTGATGCAACTAGATAGTTTGTGTATCGAAGAAGAATATGAAAAATAGCATATGAGAACTAACAGTATACAAAGGCCCTCATACATGATGTACTAGAGGGATCAACTAGGACCATCCTAACTTAGACTCCGGCATTATCTACTAAGACATCATGCCCATGGTCAAAGCAAGCTCTCATATAGATACAACGGTGTTGATTTCAGCTATACAGTCTCAATATGGGTACACCGTCTCCTACAGGAAAGCATAGAAAGCAAAGCATAATGCTATTAAAAAACTTCACGGTGAGTGGCATTCATCTTACAATGAACTACCAAGTTGGTTTAGGGTAGTGCGCATACTAAATCCTTGGATAATAGTTAACTTCGAAACTTGCCATGCATACCACAATGATCGAGTGCATCACGATCGATTCCAATTATACTGACTTTTTTGGACTTACCCATAGTGCATTAATGATGTTAAATACTGCAAGCCTGTGCTCCAATTTGATGGGATGTTCTTGTATGGAAATACAAGCAAGTTATACTATTAGTTGTCCAAGATAGTAATCACAACATTCTTCCAGTTGCTTTTGCCCTTGTTGAATGAGAAGATACAAATTCTTGGGTTTTTTTCCTAAAAAACTTACGCTTACATGTTGTCATGAGGGAAAACATCTGTGTCATTTTAGATTGTGAAGTTGCGATCAAAGCAACAATTGAGTCTTTGGGTCTAATGTGGCAATCACCCTATGTCCAACATCGGTACTGTATTTGACATATTGTCGTGAACTATCATAGACAGTTCAAGAAGAATGATGAACGCCAATTACTTGTGCGCATGGGTATGTCACAATTCCTAATTTTATTTATCCATCATTTTAATTTTTTATGGGAACTTAATAGTAAGTACTACATTTGACACTCAGGTTATGATCTACTTCCTCAAATGTTTGAGTCCATGCTTCAAGATTTGCGAGGAAAAATGAGCAAGGTACAATTACATTAACCTTATCAACAAAGAAATATAGACAAATGCATATGATGATAGCTATCGATATGGACACATGACGACCAACTTGGCTAAGACTATCAATTCGACCTTGAAGGGGGTCATTTACCAATAACAACATTGGTTAAAACAATATATTTTCTTTTGAGAGCATTTTGTTTTCAAGTTTGGGGGATAAATTGAAACTTGGATGCAAAATGGTCATGTTTATCACCCTAAGATTAGTTGCAGATCTACAAAAAAGAATTGTTGCTTCAAATGGAATGTATGTAACAAGATTCTATCGAACCCATGAATTATTTTGTATCAAAAAAATTCTATGACCTCTTCAAAGGATTGAAGCAAACTCATTCAAAGTTAATCTACAAGACATGTGGTGTGACTGCGGGGTTTTTTCAAGCTCTGAAGTATCCATGCTCTCATGTCATAGCATCTTGCTCTTATACCCGTAAAGATTATAACCGTTTTGTGTATCTCTTATATCAACTTTCAGAAGTATTTAAGGTATATGGATTTGAGTTCCCCCCATAGGTAATGAGAAAGATCCATATGAGGTTCATAAATGACTTCCGATTGTACCAGATTCGTCCTTATTAAGGGATGCATGTCATCCAAAATTCACTCAAATTCATTGTGATATGGATATTCGAGAGATGTCCAAAGAAAAAAAAGATGTAGGCAATGTAAAAACCTAAGCCACAATAGGAAAAAATGTCCATCTCTTTTATCATCACGTAACTGTTGATTTTGTGACGATGAAATTGTTGTTTCTAAAATCTCAGTTTGTGTTATTTCATTTTCGTTTACTTTCAATTAATTTCATTTGAGCATCACTAAGTAATGGGCTACTCAAGTGAAAATTAAGTAAAAACGTTACAAACTAAACAATAAAAACAATTAAATAGAAACATTAAATACAAATAATATAATTCAAACAATTAAATAATAAAAACATTAACGAAAATAAATAAATAAAAAGTTCATGATTAAATAAAAACAATACATTTACTGATAAATAAAGAAAATTAAATAAAAACATTACAAACATTACAAGTTTATCGATGTCCGCGTCTTGAATGTGTTCCATAGGGCAGTGACTGGCTATTTCGATGAGGGTTTCTTTGTATAAGTTGTTCTTCCTCCTCATTCTCATTTTCGTCATCATCAATAATAGTAGCTACATTTTGCTGATGTATGACGGATGACGATGTAGCACCACCATAGAATAAGAACCCTGGAGATGTATACTAACCATCTCATCACTCATAAAAAACTATGAAAACTGCGAAAACATCGACATCGATGACTGTGAAAACTAGGCCAGAGGTGTCTGAGTGTGTGGTGAATCATTACCCACCAAATAAACAACATATAAAGCATACGTTGAATCTACAAGCATAAAGCTTTAATATCCGCTATGAGGTATCATAAAACCCTGTAGCGATGGCATCTGAATCGGCTTTGGTAGCATTTGAAATGGTTGCGGTGGCGTCTGACCCAGCTATGGGGGCATCTGAAACATCTGTGGTGCTATCTGAAATGATTGCATCCCCATCTAAAACTGTCGCATAATGTAAACTGATATAGACGATGGCCGATGTGATGGTTCCGGTGTTGGAGCTGAGGATGAACTGGAAGTGTCTACTCTTCGTCCATGAGTCGGGGGACGATGATATTGTGATAGTGGACGCTTTTCTCGACGCTGATGAATGATCCCGCCTCGTGCTTCCTCTGAAAGTAAGAACGATTTCTAGGTCGTGTTGAACCACTGATAATAGTCATCCGCAACTGAATAATGGTCCACATAAATCGGCTCCATACGGGGAATATGTCCACGTCGATCCTTCCAGATCATTACCCACTCGATGTGCTTCATCAGTCAGTTGACTTCTTTTTTCCCCGTCTATTGATGTTATGCAAAATGTCGAGATTCCTAGGTGCTTCAGGAATAGATTGTACTAAACCAAATTGGTGAAGCACGCGATCAGTGGGATGCCACTCGATAATAGCATAACATTTCAGAGAGATCACCGCCATTCATACATTTAATGGGCCACTCAAGTGAGGTAAGATACAATGCCTCATTTCTTCAGTAGTATAAGGAGTTCATTGAAACTAAAACAAATATATATAATTCTTATCAAAATAATATTTTAATTATATAACAATAATTAAATGTAAGTAATAAAATTTAAATAAATACTTGTGTACCAACTGTTTGACCAATGAGTAATCGAATTTCTTCCAATTCGTCCGGTATATCACGATAATCTTTCCTTATACATGACGACCTATTCAATGTAAAAAAATCATTATATACTAAAAAATATTATTTATATACGAACTCAGTATTGAAATTACCTCAACAATAATGAGAAGACTAACAGGTTTTTCACGACCGAACATAAAAAGGACATGTAATACCATACCCATAACTGTAGAAAAAAAAGATATTTGTCGATAACATTTTTTTGATAATCAGTTGCTCGACACATCTCTATATACAGAGATGCCAAAATCGCTAAGCCCCAACTGAATGAGCCATCAACTCAAAAATCTACGATGTGACGCAACCACATATAATGAACTTGATTGTGAGATTTATTGGGCATCAAGATCCCTCTTATGAGTCGTAATATGTAAGACCGGGAAAATATTTTAGCCTGTTTCTCCGAACAGTTGTCGCTCAACTGTCAAAAATTTGGAGCCAACCATGATAACGATATTCGACCACCGTTGAAATTAGGCGGGATACCTCTAAGATACTCCTCGAACAAAGAATGACAATCACCATCTGCCACACCAGAAATGACATCCCCATTTAATGGAAGCCTCAAATATAAAGAAACATCCTCTAACGTAATAGTTTACTCCCTACACGGTAGATGAAAAGTGTGTCTCTGGTATCCACCTCTCAACTAGTGCAGAAATAAGATTGGATTCAAGGTTACAATGAACTTTATATCTAGCTATGTAACCGAATCCAACCTCAGCTAAATATGGCCAGACACAATTCGATGTCTCTAACTTATCGTTATGAATAAATTGATCTAATATATAGTCATTTTCCTAATTAAATAAATAGTATACAAATTAAAATATAAACTAATACTAAAAAATAAATAAACAAAACATTCATAATAATTAACATAACACAATTTAAAATTGTTACCGTATCAATAAAATGACTCGAGATATCTAAACACAATACCATGCCTTCCATTTTATATCTACAAAATATAAAAAAAAATAGTACAATAAAATATAATAAAATAATAAACTATTTAATGATAATAATATAATAAAAAATTTACCTTATAAAAATAATAACAAAACCCACTTGAAGCTTGTTAAAAGGAATGATAAAAAGAAAAATTAAGAGTTTTTTTTTTTTGTAATTTAAGAGTTGTATGAGATGTATTTATAGAGTATTTATAGAAGACGTAGATGATGATTCACGTTTTTGTTGTGTGGCGCTAGTTCAAACGAAACCCAGAAAAAAATATACTTAGTGATCCATATTTTTTATCCATATCAATAAATGAGTGTTAGATCGGTAAATTTTAGTTAATGGACAATTATTGATTTTTTTGGGTGATTTTTAGGTAGAAACACCAGCAAAGCAAACTTTTTGTTTATTTTTACTTATTTTGATAAAACAAGATATGTTGTTTCTTGACTAGAAGTTTGACAAAGTCTCAAATTTTACGTCTTTTCATTGAGTTTATCACTGAAAAAAGGGTCTTTGATCCGAACCAAACATCCCCAGAAAGCTTGAATCGGAAAAGGATCAAAATTTTCCTGCTATTTCGTTTCACCCCAATCTGGTTTTTACCATGTTTGCTAAACGCTTGCTTCAGAAATCGGTTCTCCATCCCCAGGTACAAAATAATGAAATTCCTTGCTTTTAGTTTTAGGTTTTCCCCTTTCTTTTTTAGTAATTCATCTGATGGGATTTCAGCAAAATGTGCTCCGTGAAGAATTGAAATCAGAAGATTTGGATTTGCGAGTTGCTATCCACTATGGGATCCCCTCTACTTCATCTGTTCTTGCTTTTGATCCTATTCAGCGCCTCTTGGCTATCGGGACTTTGTGAGTTTCAAGTTTTAAGCTTTAACTACTTAAATATCTAAGAAAGCATATCCATCCTTCAATTGTCTTATATAAGAATGCTTCAAAATTTGACTATTTATGCATCTTGAAGAATTGCTTCACCTACTACACTTTCCTTTTTGGCCCTAACTGTGTTTCATTACTTGCTATTTTGGTTTCTACTTATTGTAGAGATGGACGGATTAAAGTTATTGGTGGTGATGGAATTGAGGGACTTCTCATATCTCCCAAGCAATTGCCTTACAAATATTTAGAGGTTTGAATTTGTTCAGCTCAAATATTTTCTTAATGCCGGCTTTGATATTTTGGTCTTTCTTTAGTCCGTAGTAAATTCCTTCAAGGAACTTCTAGATGAAGTCTTCTCTATTGAGATACATTTGGTTTTTCATCTTCGGTACTGCATTCGGAATACGTTGCAAAATAGAGAGATATTGAAGATTGTAACTCGTTAGCATTTAACATTCAGCTGAATTTTCTTTTACATATATCCGTGAAACTAAACTTTAGTATTTTCATGGCAGTTCATACAAAACCGAGGCTTTTTAATCGGCATCTCAAATGACAATGATATTCAGGTATTCTTTATAACCTGTGCAATGATTAGGTCATAAAGCATCGTACCTGTATGTTCAATAACTTCCTGATTTTGTGCAGGTTTGGAATCTGGAGGACAGGTGTCTAGCATGTTGTTTACCGTGGGAATCCAACATTACTGCCTTCTGTCTCATTGGTGGCTCACATTTCATGTATATATGATTGCAGAATAATGATCTAATGATATATTTATGAATTCAGATGTGAGTTTGGCAGTTATGGAAGTGGTATTTGGCAGTGCTTACTATATTGTTGTTCATCTTTTCTCACAGGTATATTGGAGACGAGTATGGTTTGCTCTCAGTGGTTAAGTTTGATGGTGAAGATGGAAAACTTTCGCACTTACCCTATAATATATCAGCGAATTCTTTGAGTGGTAGTTTCTTCGTTCTTTTCTAATGGTTGATAAATAATTTCAACTGATTCAGAAAATTCTTTTAATGGACCATTTTATACTGTCTCACAGAAGCATCTGGACTTTCAGTTCCTGATGACCAACCTATTGTTGGGATTCTTCCTCAACCCCATTCTTCTGGAGATAGGTATGGTACAATTGCTCTTGCTAGCTCAGCCTTTGGAATTGATAAAGACTGAGGCTCAATTTAATATCAAGTCAATTTATCCAAAATGTTTGAATTGATCCTTCACCGTTACTTATACACGTATGCAATATGTGAAAGGAACTGGGGTGGTTCGATGAATTACTGTGAAATAACATATTTTATATTAAGGTGTGAATTGGATCTGGTCATTCATTCCACAAGCATCTTGATATGGCTGCAGCATACTAGGATGAACCTATCTTCTAAAGTTAGAACCTGATTACTATAGACAATAAGGAAAAACCAATCAAGATTGGTTTAGCATCTTCTTATTACTTTTGAACCATATTCTTTTGCAGAGTCATAATTGCATACGCAAATGGTTTGATAATTCTTTGGGATGTTTCTAAATCTCAAATTCCCTTCATTGGAGGTGGGAAGGATCTTCGGTTAAAGGATGCAGTGGATTCAGATGTCCAAGATGATACATCCGAGCATCATCTCCAAGAAAAGGAGATAAGTGCTATTTGTTGGGCATCTTCTGATGGATCCATTCTCGCAGTGGGGTACATAGATGGGGATATCTTGTTTTGGAATGCAAGCGTTGCCTCTTCTAAAGGTGAACGGAATGGACAAAACAAAAATGTTGTTAAGCTGCAGCTGTCATCTGCTGAGAGGAGACTTCCGGTCATTGTCTTACAATGGTCCTCAAACAATAGTTCACGCAATGATTATAATGGTCAACTTTTCATCTATGGTGGTGATGAAATAGGATCTGAAGAAGTCTTGACGGTGCGTTATGCGTTTGTTTGCAATTTGGAACTCCAATTTTTGTGATGATAGTAGTAGTCATTACTTGAAGTTTCTATGTCAAATTAATTTTATTCTTTCTTTTTTATGATGGAAAATTAAACGTTGTTGAGCATTGATTTGTATTAAGTTAATTAGGAATATATTGCAAAATTACTGTTAAACATAGTTACAGGTTAATGTGTCTGGTACAGGTTTTGAGTCTTGAATGGTCATCTGGGATGGACACTGTTAGATGTGTTGCTCGTGTGGATCTTACATTGACTGGCTCTTTTGCTGATATGATCTTGTCGCCAACTACTGGGCCAACAGGAGGCAATCAAAAAGCTGACCTTTTTGTGTTGACGAACCCCGGACAATTGCATCTTTACGATGGTACAAACTTGTCTACCTTGCTATCTGAGAAAGAGAGGAAACAATTTGCTTGTCCTGTGGAATTTCCGATGGTAATACCTACAGCTGACCCACCAATGACCGTTGGAAAGTTCAGTGTGCTACCAACTGGTGGAAACTCGTCAAAATCGCTTTCAGAGGTATTGTGTTTCTATCATAAATATGTTCATTATTTGATGTCATTGTGCTCCATTAAGTTTTTCTTGTCTAACATTTTCCTCCTGTTCCACAAGCTTGCATCAATAATGAGACCTGGCTTCACACCAAATACAACTGCTGGCACAAACTGGCCCTTGACAGGGGGTGTACCCACTCAACTATCTGTCTCTAAGGATAACAGTATTGACAGATTTTACATTGCTGGTTACCAAGATGGATCGGTTCGGATTTGGGATGCATCGTATCCTATACTGACACTTCTCTTTGTCCTAGGAGGAGAAGTGAGTTCCAGCAATATTTCTTTCGAAGTAACTTTGTTTGCACCGAATAACTTCTATTTAATGGCAGGTGCAAGGTACGGATGTGTCTGGTTCCGGTGCTCCAGTGACAACTCTGGACTTCTGTTGGCAGACTTTAAATTTGGCTGTTGGAAATGAATGCGGCGTGGTCAGCACTATTTCTTCACATTTTCTCTTCCTCTTTTAATGTTTCAAGGTTGTGTGTTAAGCAAGTACTTTATATATACGTTTTTAACATTCCGTCTTGTATAGGTACGCGTTTATAACCTGGGCAGCTCTAATACAACAAGCTTTCACTACGTCACTGAGACCAAGTGTGAAGGTAAGCTTGCATCTAATGATGCTTTTGTTGGAGCTGTTATTTTATCAAATTAATATCATTCAATTTGCCTTCCAGTTCAGAGTTGTGCACGAGGAAAAGGACCCGAGTGTAAAGCTGTATTTTCCCTTCTTAAATCACCAGTTCAAGCCCTGCAGTTCGGGATTTGTGGAGCCAAGCTTGCTGTTGGATTTGGATTTGGTCGTGTAAATTTCATCTGTCTTCTCTTTGATTGAGACATAATCTTCATTTGTCTAAGAAGCTAGGTCATTTTGCAATTTTAGCTTTCTATTTCTGGACTCATTTCTTTGTGCTTCCACCACAGGTTGCGGTGCTTGATGTGAGTTCACCAGCAACTTTGTTTGTTACTGACTGTGTTTCTAGCTCGTCATCTCCAATCATTTCATTGTCTTGGTTAGAGTTTAAAAATGCTCATAGCCATGTAAAAAGCACAGAGCAATCAGAAACAGAGATTGCAGTCAAACCTGAAGAGGAAATAATATTTATCTTAACCAGGGATGCAAAATTTTTCTCTATTGACGGTACCAATGGTGAGATGATACACCCTCCTCCATGGCACGTGAAAAAAGAAGAAATTGCACTCTCCATGTACATTATAGGCAAGTACCATAAGAAAGAAGGATGCTTATAGCTAGCACTTTTGCGGTTAGTACAATAATGCAATTCTAATATTATTTCGAACTCCAGCCGGCTGTTTTCCAGTACTAAACTGTGAGAAGCATCTGGAGGAATCCACCAAGGATACCACTGTCAAGGGTGAGGCTGAGCTTGATGCTTCTTCAACTGGGACCGAACATCCCTCCTCATCGGAAACTGCTTCCACTCTGGATCGCTCACTTGATATGCTCTTTTTGCTTTGTTGTCAAAATTCATTGTGGTTGTACTCCATGAAGTCCTTGATTCAGGTGCCTTTATTGCCTTTGCTGTGTTTTACTTTCGAACATTGTTGTGCCTCCATTTGTGTGCTAAAGAGATTTGCTTTCTATAGGGGAAGGATAAAGCAATTCATAAGGTAAATCATACGAAGCCTTGCTGTTGGACCACTACTTTTAAGAAAGACGGAAGAGTGTGCGGACTGCTCTTGCTGTTTCAAACAGGGGATCTCGAGATCAGGTAAAATTTTATATATATATTCTGTGTCCTTAAATAAAGTAAGATTCCCTTATCATATCACTTAATTTTTATGTTTTAAAGATTGTGTTCTTTTGAGGGTCATTATCAGTATCAATGTTTATCAAATGACTGAATGTTACTACCTATGTCCATGCAGATCCTTGCCGGACTTGGAATTGGTTAAAGAAAGCTCCATAAAGTCGATCCTAAGGTGGAACTACAAGGCAAACATGGATAAGTTGATGACTTCTGATGATGCTCAACTTACACTGGTACATTCTCTTGGAATCTTTTTTTTTTCTTTGGAAAGCCGTTTCATTGTTTACCGAACTGTTTAAATATCGATTTAAGAACATACACTAACGATGCTATTATGCTAAAAAAATTAAAATTACCACTAATACTAAAGTCCCCTTTGTTTGGTCCGTATATTTTTATTCTCAATAATTCATCTGATGATATTTTTGGCATAAATAGCGAGTGGATGCGAAGTGGCCTTCATTTCTCTCTTGGCTGGTTCAAATGATTTCAGGTACCACCACCATTTAAATAATTGGCGCTGTTGAGAAAATTTTGAATCTAATGAAGAAAATGATTCTGAGAACTTGCTGTATCGTTGTTTCTAGGATCCCTGAAGCGCTGCCTTGTCTCCATGATCGGGTTCTTGCAGCAGCTGCTGATGCTGCCATTAATTTCGCTTCAAATCAGAAGAAGAATCAGGTCCATAGAAATCTCTCTTCTTGGATCAGTTTCCGACAAAACTGTTTATAATTTTACCATATTAACACAGGGTATGGCACCGGGGATTCTTGGTGGTATAGTCAAAGGCTTTAAAGGAGGAAAAGTGAATACATCCGCAGCACCCGAATCTGATTTTACTCATCTAGAGAGCAAATTTTTAAAGACTCCATTCATAGATGCAATGCAGAATGTTAATAAGCACGAAGATATTGAGCTTGACATAGGTTCTGTTCACGGTTACATCGATATTGTTTCTTAATTCTTTGTTTTTCTCTAACGAAACATGTTTCTTTTGGCACCAGATGACATCGACATAGATGAAACTCCACCTGTGACTAGCTCCTCGTCTCATGAAGTTAAATCGAAAGGAGGTAAACCTGACTTTCCAACTTGCTTTTCTTTACTGCTGAATTTCTACAATGAAATTGCCAAATATTCACTTGACCTTGCAGGAAAGGAAACAGACCGTGAAAAATTACTAGGTGCACAAGATGATTCAACACCCAGAGTTCGAACCGCCCAAGAAATTATTGCGAAATATAGAAAAACCGGGGTAATGAATTTAGACACATTATGCTTTTACCGATCCGTCTGTTTCTCAGCAATAGCTTTCTAAGCAGATTCCGTTATTCGATATTGCAGGATGCTTCTTCAGCAGCAGCACATGCAAGAGATAAACTGGCAGAGAGAGGGGAAAAGCTGCAGGTAAAAAGGATCTCCCATTAAATCCCTAAGATGAACATTTTTACTGCAGTTGATAGAATAAAAGCTGTCAATACAACGGATTCTGGCTTATCTACAACTCTAACCGTGCTTCCCTGTGGTTGCCTATGCTTGTATCAGAGAATCAGTCGGCGCACCGAAGAGCTGCAAAGCGGAGCTGAAAACTTTGCATCGTTAGCAGATGAACTTGTCAAGGCAATGGAAAATCGAAAATGGTGGCAGATATAAGGTGAAACAAACGGGGAATTTAATCATGTCTTTTGAGATTATTACTTCAAGCTCCATGTTAGTCGATCACTTCGAGCTTCGACGTGGCCATTACCATTCCACAGCTAAAACTTCCTACAAAACCATATGTATCTGCCTGGAAATTTCTGGGTTGAAGTTTCAACAAACAACAGTGTTGGAGAGTTGTTTTGTATGTGATGTAAATTAACATAAGTCAACATTTCAACTGCTCAAATATGATTCATTCTGATAAAAGAATTCTGGGTTTGAATTTCATATTATTGTTAGTATTCCATGCAGTGCATGGAGAATATAGAATGTAAAAGGATTGATGCTGTAAAATTCTTACTTTGAAACGATCAAACCACCCATATTGCTGATAAAGTATTGATTTTTCTATTCCAAGGGATGAGGCTGTATCTTTGTTGGATTCAGATTATTTTTCTTTGCATTCAAAGTTTTTTTTATTAAGTTGATTACGAAGTAGTATATGTTCTAAATAGTTTTATACTATTATTCAATATTTTTTTGTGATTTAAAAAACAATTCAAAGAAATGACGGTGGCAGCACTTTGTGAGTGCATTTTGTGGGACGCCGGCCTTAAGAAACTTGTGCTATAACAAACGAAAGTCATAAAAGGGAGCTCCGTCCATGAGTAATGAGCTAGAATAAACCCTAAAGGCCTAAACCCTATGCCTCTAATTGAAAGAGATATCATTAAAACAATATTATTTTTCTCCTTTTGTATGAGATTTTCTTAAAATGATTTAAATTAATTATAATGTAGTATTTGTTTAGAATTTTTTTAATTATTGATAATACACATACACTCTGCAAACATAGAACCTCGAACTCAATACCTCCAGAAATAAAAACACTATTTTTAACCATTAAAATCACGAAATGAGTTCTATTAAAATATTTGATTAGCATAATTACTTTATTATTCATGTTATATTCTAATCTAAATCATTAATGTAATTATATGTGTTGAATTATATAGATTAATGGATGGCACATGGGTTGGTATATAGGAACTCATCAAACGACTGCAATAATAAAAAGTAGAGTTTTTTTTCTTTTAATTTTAATTTTTTTTGACACATCTAGGGTGTACACAAGGAGTATTTGTTCAAAAACTCACAATTATTTGACAATGAACGTTCATCATACCTTTGGGATATGAAGTGTTTGAACATGAGACCTAGACGAGACAGATCGTGAGTTGCTTGAGATCGACTGGGTCAAAGCTCGATAAATGCTCGACTCGAGCTCGAGCTCTATTCGAGTTTTTAACAAGCCGAAACAAGCTACTTGTTACTCGACTCGAAAAGATCACGAGCAACTCGAAAATTTAATATATTAGGATTTTATTTTTTAAAATAATCATTAATAATATTAACATTTATGTGTTGATTTTTTTTAAAAATGTAGTATAAAATTTTCATGTATTTAAGGTTCAATTTTGAGTTTGAGCTTCAATTGAGTTAAGTTTAAGATTTTTGTTTCATTTTGAGCTTTTTCAAGTTTCAATTCATGGTTTCAAGTTCGAGTTGAGCTTGAAAACTTTAGGCTCGCGAGTTTTCAAGCTGAGTCAAGCTTCATTTTAGAGTTTTTGAGTCGAATTGAGCTCAACAATACTCGAGCTCGACTAGACTCGTTTACACCCCTGCTGAGACCTCAAAGAATAATAAATCCCTTAAACATTTAGATCATTTGATTCGTTCCCTTTAAAATTTTGAATTTAAACAATTATATATTTTGTAAAATATGTACATCATCAATGATTATTAAAAACAAACTTTGAACAAATAAAACTTTTCACTACTAAAATCATTTAGACTTTTAATTAATAATATTAAATTTAGATGGAAACAAAATAAAAATGAGACAAAACAAACTCCCCAATCACTGAACTCGAAAGGAACCTAGTATTGTACCTATGAAATCCCAAATATCATTAGAAACCGTGAATATGATAGGGCAGCCCGGGAACCATAGCTATACTATAAAACGCCCCTCAATTTGGTCTAAAACCAATCAATCTGCCGAAGGAACCTCTCCCTCTTTCGGCAAATTGGCCAATCCGCCTCTCTTTCTCTCTCTCTATTATATATATATATTAATTAAAAATTCACAAAACTCGCCAACATTTTCTCTTCCCTTGTGTTACTCTTCGAGGAGAGGGAACAAACAATAAGGGAGGATCTTTCCTACACACCTCACATTGCGTCTTGTTTTGAGGTCCGAGTACCTCATTCATTTCATTCTTTTCATGCTTTCGTTGAGCTTTTCATGGGATTTCAATGGCGGGTTTTATAACAATCGAAGAAGCTGCAAATGAGTAATGCTTTCTTGTATTCAAGAAGGATTACAGACTGGTTTATATACAGCTATAAAGTTAACTGACTAACCAAAAACGACTACTAACAAATCAGATAACTAACTGATAACAAACAAACAAACTACAAGCTGATAACTAATCGACTATAAGCTATAAAGATTACAAGCTGAAGTTGATATACTCTAATACCCCCCTCAACCTGGATGTGCGTGTATGTTAAAGAGACCCAGCTTGGCAATGAAAGCTAGATGTACGGGAGGCCGAAGTGTTTTGGTGAAGATGTCAGCCAACTGGTCTGAGGAACGAACATGAAACAACTTCAGAAAGTCTGCTTTCACCTTGTCTCGTACAAAATGACAATCAACTTCTATATGCTTTGTTCTCTCATGAAACACTTGATTAGTTGCAAGATTGATTGCAGCCTGATTATCGCAATATAATCTTGCAAAATCAATATCCATATGAAATGAAGAAAGCAAAGAAACGAGCCAAACTAATTCACATGTAGCCATGGCCATAGCTCGATATTCAGCCTCGCAGGAAGATTGGCTAACGACAACTTGTTTATTTGATTTCCAGGATACCAAACTGTTACCAAGAAAGGCACAAAAACCAGTTGTGGAGCGTCTTGTATCGGGACAGGAACTATAGTCCGAGTCAACAAATATGCTCAAGTGGTTGGTGGATTGAACTGGGAAAAACAAACCAAGACCAGAAGAACTTTTAATATATGCCAAAAGATGTTTTAAGGTAATTATATGAGGCAGGCGAGGTGAGGATACAAACTGGCTCAACAAATGGACAGTATGGACAATATATGGCCTAGTATTGGTCAAGTACAACAAACGGCCTATTAATCGACGATACTCCTGAGGATCAGGAAGTAATTTTCCTTCATTTGCACTCAACTTCGAGGATAAAAGCATTGGTGATTCGGCTAGCTTGGTACCCAAACACCTTGTATCTACTAGTAATTGTAATGCATATTTCCTCTGGGATAGGATGATTCCAGAATTATTCCTAGCAATTTCAAAGTCTATGAAATAACGCAAGGGCCCCAACTCCTTTAGTTTGAAGTGTTTTTGTAAAAGGTTTTGTATTTTATGGAGAGCTAGGAGATCTTCCCCGGCCAAAACGATGTCATCTACATAGACGAGAAGAGCAATGAATCCACTGCCACAACCCCTTGTAAACAAAGAATGTTCAAATGGAGATTTCTAAAAACCAAGTTGAATAACAACGTTCGAGAATGCAGTGAACCATTGTCTGGATGCTTGCTTCAAACCGTAACTAGATTTGTGAAGCTTGTAGACCATGTTAGATCCTTTAAGCTCAGACTTCTATCCGAGAGGTAGTTTCATGTAAACTACCTCATCTAATGTTCCATTTAGAAAGGCATTGTTTACATCTAATTGTAACAAGTGCCAGTTGCATGTTGCTGCAAGGGAAAGAAGGACTTGAAATGAGGTCATTTTTGCAACAGGTGAAAATGTGTCCATGTAGTCAATGCCTTCAACTTGTGTGAAGCCTTTAGCAACCAGTCTGGCTTTATACCGGTCAATTGAGCCATCAGCATTATACTTCACTCGATAGACCCATTTACAATCAACAACACTCTTTCCAGTGGGTAATGGAACAATGGTCCATGTTCCAAGTTCTTCCATGGCTCGAAGTTCATCACTCATAGGATTTCTCCAAGTTGAAGACTTGACAGCTTGATGATAATAAGAGGGCTCAACAACAGTCGAGATATTTGCAACAAAGGCTCCATACTCGGTGGAAAGTTTTGGAGAAGAAACAAAACTTTCGATGTGATATAAACATTTTGAGGAAGCATTATTGCAATAATAATACTGAAGGTAGGAAGGTTTCTGAATGGTACGAGAGGAACGTTGAACTGGTATTGAAATTTCATCAGTCGAGGCAGTAGGTTCTGAAGAAACATCCGCGTGTGATTCGGTATGCTCAAGAGAAGCATTGTTATTTGAATGAGTAGAGCCCAGGAGAGCATCACTAGTTGAACTACTAGAGCCAAGAGAAGCTCCACCATTCAAGTCAACATGTTCAAGAGGAATTTTTTGAATTTCATGCACGTGTGGAGTATTGAACGTGTCATTTACAACCTTTGGTAAACAAAAATCCTGAAAAATGTCAACAGAATTGTCAGACAATCTTGCATTTTGAAAAGGAAATAACCCTTCATGGAATACCACGTTTCTAGAAATAACCATCTTCTGACTTTGCAACATATAAATGCGTTATCCCTTTACACCTGGAGGATATCCAAGAAATAAATGCTTCTGGTGTTGGGATATATTTCTTGGATATCACACATATATGTCCTTGGATATCCAGGCGTTGAACTGGTTTACCATAGAAGGATTAGGAGCTTGAATTGAACCATCAACAAATCCAAGCTTGTTCTTGGCAAATAAGACAAACATCATTGACCTTTTCCAGCTATGAAAATTATCATTGGAAAGCAACTAACTCACCAATATTATGTCAGGATTGTCAGACTGATGCAAGTAATAGGGATTTATCCCATTGTCGAAACTATCATTCAATGACTCAACCATGATGAAGCGTGGGAGAAGAGAAACAAACTTCTGATACCATATAACAATCGAAGAAGCTACAAATGAGTAATGCTTTCTTGTATTCAAGAAGGATTACTGACTGGTTTATATACAGCTATAAAGTTAACTGACTAACCAAAAACTACTACTAACAAATCAGCTAACTGATAACAAACAAACCAACTACAAGCTACAAGCTGATAACTAATCGACTATAAGCTATAAAGATTTCAAACTGAAGTTGATATACTCTAATAGGTTTCGTTCTATCTGGTTTAAAGTATCTCCCTTTTATCCACGACAGACCCGTTGTTTCGAGGAAATCTTCAAAACCCAGATTTTTAGTTAAAAACAAGAATTACCCAGATCTAGAAAGGA